AGTTCAGTAATAAATCACATTTACTGTTGCTTTCTTTAAAGTTAAAACAATGCAGAAGAAGGAAGAGAAACTCAGAAAATAGTATGGAAAATCTGAGAGAATGGACTTGTATTTATAACCAATGTGGGCTGAAATCTGAAGAGGTGCAACTCTTCAGAATGATTGTTAATGCAAAACGGCCACAACATAAATGTCATAACATAAATGACTATTTACTCAACAATAAAGAGAGAAAATTGAAGAGGGTAGTTAATTTTCTGTTACCAAAACAGAAAACGAAAAAATGGAAATGGTTGGATTTTAATATTAATATTCTCTAATTTAATATTAATATTTTATTATTAAAATGGAACAAATTTGGTCCAAAAAATTAATTAATCAATCAATCATTTAACCAAATCCGAAGCTGAAGCCGAGCCGAGCGAGCGGCGACTACGACGGCGCGGGCTTGCCTTCTTCTCAAATCTTTAAGAGCTAGAAGAAGATCAATTACTTATTAAAAACCTTTTACTCTTCCAATATGAGACAATGTCCATTTGCCAAGGGGGAAAACTTAAAATTTTACTTAAAAATTTCAGTTCTCTCCATTTCCCATTCACCCTATTTTAAGCTTCATTAATGCTTAAAACCCCAACAATAACTAATTACCTACTAACTATAGTATACTTAAATAAGTGGGACCCACAGCTCTCAACATTAGTTAACATAGTTTCCTTCTTAAAATGAAAAAAGATATGCCAGTAGTAGACACTCATAAATTAGTGGGGTAAAAAACACTACTAGAAATTCGGTAAAAACCGACCAAGGTCAACCGACCAATTTTGGCCGGTCAAAAAACCGACCAGAGTCGGTCGATTTTTCAAAATATTTTATTTTTTAAATTTTTGTATGAAACTGACCAACTTTGGTCAGTTTTCTTTGGGGTAAAAATGCGGGAAACTATTTTTGAGTCCTGCAAAATTTATTTTTCAAGAAACCCACCAATTTTGGTCGGTTTTTCATTTAAAATTATTATTAAAAAACCAACCGAAATCGGTCAGTTAAGTCGACCGGTCATTTTAAAAAACCAACCGAATATGTTGGTAATTTTATTTTTAATAAAACCGACCGACTCTGGTCGGTTATTTTCGTACGAAAATACAATTAAAGAGTATAAATAAAATAAAAAACAGTCTTAAAACAAGATGCACCAATGGTCTAGTGGTAGAATAGTATCCTGCCATAGTACAGACCCCGGTTCGATTCCCAGATGGTGCATTTTTTAATTACATAATTAAAATACTGATCGACTTTGGTGGGAAAAAACCGACCAACTTTGGTCGATTTTTTCGGTAATGTTTTTTAAAATTTCATTGACCAATCAAAGTTGGTCGATAATTTCCGACCAACTTTGGTCGGTATGCCCTTCCGACCTTCAAAATATCGACCACACGTTAATGGTCGTGTTTTGGATGGTTATTGGCCATTACTGACCTACTTTAATCGTTTTTACGGGTTTTTTCGAATTTCTAGTAGTGAAAACGGGATCTTTATCCAAATAGCCGGTCATATTCATTGTTTACTTTTTTCAGTCATACATAAATTATACATTCATTATACACATATAATACAAAAGTTTTGTATATATTATATCTCCATCGACTATTTTTAGTTTAAGCGGTTGGGGTGCGACTATTTGGATTAATTAACCACATCACATCGTGGGCCAGCAAGTAGATAGGCCAATACCATTCCCGAAAGACAAGTCAAACCTGCACAAAATTAAACTACAAAAAATATTGGTAACTTTCTTCTAAAAGAGTCATATCCCCACATATTATTATTATTATTATTATTATTATTATTATTATTATTATTATTATTATTATTATTGTTATTGTTATTATTATAATAATAATAATAATAATAATAACAATAATAATAATAATAATAATAATAATAATAATAATAATAATAATAATAATAATAATAAAGTATCAATAATATTAACACTCTAATAATATTTCGTGAAAATGACATCTAATACTTTTCTAGTGTATTGACGTTGAATGGATTATTTTAGGAATAAAAAAAGAGGATCATTTTTTGAAGGGATTGTGTTTTCTTGTTTGCGTTATAAACCATTCAAAATCGAACCAAATTTCTCAATTAATGCTAATAATTTATTTGGCCGGTTTATGCAGCCTAGACTTGGAATGTTTTAGCTGTTGAATCTATTACCTCATCTCCTCTCTTACTATTCTTTTCCATATTTTCAAGCAAGTTGTAAAGATGTGGAAACAACACAGTCACACTTTATAGAATGTAATCTTTTAATCAATTATAAAAATTAAAAAAAAGGAGGTAATATTATAATTGTTCTCTCGTATTAATAATCTTCTTTTAAAAAATGATTAATAATGTATAAAAGGTAATCTTGAATTGCATTAGAACTAGATATATCATTTATATTAAATTTCAAATTATACTAGAAATAATTAATTTAAGTTATGCGGATTGACAATTTATAGATTTTCTGCGTTGTTACCATGTTAAATTGACCGACAATAACAAATAATTTACTCTCCATTGCAAATATAGTTATAGATGTTCCACATATCAATTCAAAAGACTTGTCTTCTTTCTTTAACTAAATCCTTTTTTTCCCTTCAAGTTTATGGTCAAGAAAAAAAACATATAGTATTAGAGAGAGAAACGTTGGTCTGAAATGAACTTAATCGAGGAAATATAATTGGTTTAATTTTTATAGCGAGCCTCTTTGAAATTACATCCCTACCTCTCGTCTAACTCAAGTTGCCCCGTTCCTTTAGCAGTTAAAGTGGCTCTTTTCAAGAAGTAAGATCATATCTGTAGGAGTATGTTACGAGCAGAAGTTCTTTTGCTAGTGGAAGTAAGAGTAGCAAGGTTAGGACCACATATAAATATAATAAAGGGTTCGAAAGAAATTAGATTCCATAGAAGTTTTGTCCGGTTGGGAAAGCCAGAACTCTTATAAACCAGCTTGATAAAAGGTAGTGGTAGGGACAGTCTCAGTACCACTGAAAGTGCGATAGTCCTTCAAGCAAGGGACTTGGGCATACAAAGTCCTTACTCGTGTTCCACCAACAACTCACATATCGTATAGAGCTTTTTCCTATTCTTTCCGCATAGACTTGCTTCACACTTGTGTCAAAGGCCAGTTTAATTTTACTCAAGAGTAAGAATGATAAACCATTTCGCAAGCTTGAATCCCTATAAAAAGTTTGTCCCAATAATTTAGCCTGTAAAGAAAAAAAGCGGGATAGAAGTTAAGTAATTTTAATTTGTTTTATAATAATAATAACAATAATATTATTATTATTATTATTATTATTATTATTATTATTATTATTATTATTATGACTCCTCCAATAGCAAATTACTGAGATATTAATTCATGATATTGGATTTCCGAATTGTGATCTCTTAAATAATAAGGGGACAAAAGATACGTATCCAGAAATATAATAAACAAGAAACAATAAGACGTGTTGTAAGTATAACATTTGAGTGAAAGGAAAAAAAGCAAAAAGGTGTATAAAGATGTAATCATCATTTACAATCATCCAAAGTGGACGCCCTTTTAGTTTTTGTTTTCTATACTTTCCATCACTATAGGAGGGGCCCCATTGTAGAAGATAGTAATTTTATTTATTTATTTGTGTATGTTATTCTTGCGAGAGAGATCGTCCTAATCTTTTTTTATCGTTTTAATTTTATCTGATTATATTCGAAAAGATCAAAAAATGATTATTGGATTAGTTCATATATAGATAAAAAAAAAATGGAGCCTTTTTTATTCTAGTGGCAAAATTGGGACTCTTTAGATTGTATTTGATATGATGGAAGTTTTTATTTTCGTGAGAAATATTTTTGATCATTTGATGAATATACTCGATGTTTGGTTGCAAGTGAAAAATATTTAATCAAATTCGTGAATATTATTTGATGAAATTCACTTGCACCCGGCCATCGAATTCTTTAGCACTCAAACATTGCCCAACAAGGAAATTGACCTTGTATCATTGCCCAATGGAATTTAATAAAAGGATTTAAATACAACACCAAAATCCTACAGGGGTCAGAACAAGCGGAATGAAATTCAAATGATTTGAAATTCAATGTATAAGAGATCCGCTATTCTACCTTATCCATTCAAATTTCATATCCTACTACCTTTATCTCTTTGTAATTAAAAAATTTGCAGGCGGATCTATAATTTAAATTATATGGGTTTAATCTTTTAAAATTTAATATTAAACTTATTTTAATTTTAAAGTTATCAATTCATATTTACTATTTTTGATAATTTTTTACGAATATATTTGCATTTCACGTCGAAATGAATTCAATTGAACTCGTTATTAGTATATTTCGTGTGCCCCTACCACCTAAGCTAAGGGGTGTTAATTGACAGTTTTTTCGTTGAAAAATTATACGGTATAGAAATCAACATATTTCTTTATGCATAATACTATATATTCAATCCCCGACATTTACCTTTATTTTTTTTTTTTTTCATTTCCACTCATTTCTACTAAATAATGCAACTAATCATTCACATTAGTTGCATTAAAATTAGACAACACATCACAAAAGAGAAAAAAAATGAGAAGAGCTGAAACTTTCCTTAATCAGTATTCGTAACTTGTTAACAATCTAATTATACAAATTCTTC